ATTTCCAGGTGTTCAATGACTGGAAAACAAGCCCTCTAAGTATCCAGGTTGTGTGGGAACTCTGGCATTTCTTCAACAGCAAATTTATAAATATAGTTAAGAAATAAAACATTTAAATCTGCACAGAAAAACAAAATAATTCAGCCAGAATTGCATCAAAAAAAAGGGCAGAATTCGCCGGGTTACTCACACAGCGGGCCCCGGGGCCGACAGGAACCTCTGCAGGCCGTTCTGTCCGCCGGGCGCTCTCAGCTTGTCGGCGAGCAGCGGGAAGATGGCGTGGGAGCTCCGCAGACTCATACAGTTCACCACCACCGTCTGTACCGACGACAGCTCGGCCTGATGGGACGGAAGATTAGAACGTAAACAAAAAGACACTTTTGGAGTAACGTTGTGAAAATATGTTTTTTGGGTATTTATGGATGAACAAAGGTTAAATATAGTGAACAGACGATGGTTGAAGGGATATAAGATTCATTTTGTGAATATAAATGTGTTTATCTATTTCAATGGTCAGTAGACGGCTATTTTCTTGGCTTAATGTTATTTATTTAAGCGTTTAGCCTTTAATTTTTATTGATATTATTGTTTTCCTCCTTAATTATTACAGTTTGAGTTAATTTACGGGACATCGTAATGTGATTCCTGTGCAAGAAGGCACAAAAAGAAGGGCGGGCAGCTACAGAAAGACGCAACATAATGTGCATTTAAACATTTTAACCTAAAAGCTGCATTATGTAAATATTGAAGTAAAGTACAAACACCTGAAACTGTTACCTACATATAGTTTGACCATTTTCCACCACTCAAAGCTTTCTGCAGTGACACAAACTCTCCACAAGGTGTCATTAAAGCTCTACACATCTACAAATACCTTCACTCTGACACACACACACACACACACACAGTTAAAGTACCTTCATCTCCTGCAGCACACAGTTGAAGCAGGCGGTCTTGCCGGTCCCCGGTGCTCCGGAGATGTAGAGGCTGCCGGGAAGGCGCTGCAGGACTTTATCCTCCAGGAAAGAGCGAATGGACGCTCGCTCGGCCTCCCGGGACAGAAGCCGCTCGGGGACGGCGGTGTGCAGCGCCTGCTTCACGTCCTGAAACCTCGACTCTGGGGAGGAGACACATCAGCAGAGGGTTTAATCAATCGGATTAATTACTAATAATCTATTAAATGAGAAACAGACACGTGAGAGTTCTTACTTTCTGCAAAGAGTCGAGCAACCGGCGGTTTCTTCTCAGAGTTTTGGTGTTTGGCCGGGCTTCCAGTTGGCGTTTCCTGGCGCCTCGGGGACAACGCGGTGGCGGGTGAGAGCGGTTGGCGTGGTGATGACGGCACCAGACGTCTGCGAGCAGAGACTGGCGAGTTCTCGTCGAAGCCGAGCTTCCGTGGCGAGGCCAGGGACGGCTTGCTCTGTTTCGGTGGAGAACCCAGCAGGCCGGCGCCGAGGTTGCAGCCGTTGTCGTCACCTTGAGAGATAAAATAAAGAAAGTGTTTAATGTTCTGGGTGAAAGTAAAGTGGATGAACTCATATCTGTAACATCAGCAACCAAAGACCGTAACTTCACCTGATGTCTACGATTACTTTAAGTTCATTTAGGGAGTTTATCAGACGTATAAAAACACATTTTTCTTGAAGAATTCAAACCTCTACTTTAATTTAAAGAGATCTTTTACAACAAAGTAATCATATAAAATATAAAATAACCATTTGTGTCAGAACTTCCCCAGAAAAAATAACCCTTTAAGTTACAAAAGGTGTAAATAACTCAAACAAACAGTCGTCGACCACCCTGGTTTTATGTCTTTCTGTATGTTTATGGACCGGTGTCTTACAACAGGAGAGTAAACAACAAGGTTTACTTGCTCATTAAGCTGAAGGTAGAAACCGTCTTCCTGTCTGGAGTCTCTCACCTGTGCGTTTCCGGGGGCTGAGTGGAAGTCGTGGCTGGAGGCCGGGGGACCTCGGGGGGAGCGGTCCGATCCGAGTCAGCTTCTGGTCGAGGTGCTGGGGCTCGGGTTTGCTCGGCGACGGGGCTGGAGATTTCTGCGGCGTCTTGGAGCGAGCGGGAACTCTGCAGGATTTGCGGCGAGGGAAGGACAGCGTGGGCTGAGCCCGGCCCTGGGAGCGTGTGCTGGGCATCTTGTGTTTAATCTGAAACATAAAAGCAAAAGATAATCCGTTATTAGAGGGACTACTGAGTCCTAGAGGAACCACATATCTCTTCTTGTGCATCTGTTTCTGTAGAAAAACTAATATTCCTCAGATCATAAAGCCCTCTGAAACTATGATACACAACCAATGACATGACTTGGGATTATATAAATAACAAACAGTGTTAAATACTGGTGGATTTCAGAGGACTGGTGTTTATTAGTGGTAGTTTCTTTGCAGAAAAACGTGTATTTCTTCATTTTATTAAGAATAAAACTCATATTTTGTACAATTGTGTTGTCCAATGGGGCTGTTGTTTATAAAAGCTGCTATATTTCCACATTAAACTCTCTAAAACACCTCAATAAACAATCTCTAGTGTGTTTCATGTCACATAACCAGCGTTGGCCTTCCACGTTGTGGCTGTTTCTGTATGTAAAGTCAAGATTTGAATAAAGTTTCGGTTAATAAAACTTCATGTTAAAGTTCATGAATCGGGCTGAAGTTGCAATAAGTCAATAACCGATGTAAAGGTAACGTGTTTGGAGTTTGCTGGAGTGTTTAAACCCTCAGATTACAGTTTTATTTACATTAAAAAGAACAAACAATGCAGCGCGCCAGTTAAATGGCGCCAAGACGGCAGACGTACAAACGGTGACGTTTACGTACAAATGTCTGAATATCGACATAAATGTAAATGAGTTTAACCCAAAACACATCGTGTTAACGTGAAAGTCATCCCACAGTTAAAGTTTGTGGGTAAATAAAGCGAGAAAAAGGCTGATGGAGATATTTTAGACGACAAACCGATCGGAGCAGACGGACTCTCTTCCGGTTACGATAAACTTTATATTTCACCTCTAAACAGTTGAATTAACGCGTTATTAATTAATGTACCTTTATAAAAACGTGACAGAAGTCTTCTTGGGTCTCGGTGAAGTGTTTCCTCTGCGTTGGTTTCCCTCTGCGCCTCTTTCTGTCCGTCTTCTTCCGCACACTGACCTCAAAGTTGCGCGAAATCTCCTCTCCTCGATCAGCTGTGTTTCCCGCCGCTGCTCTCTGATTGGTCCGCTCCGGCTGACGACGAACGGCCTCCGCGACGCTCATTGGCTGAGCGTTCCGGGCGGACGTTGCGTCACTCTTAAGCCGGTGGCGGGAGATTCAACACAACGCTGTTTTGGCGGAATATAATTTTCCCGGGAACTTCAGTTGTTTTGTTACATCAGAGGAACTAAAATCTAATTTATATATAAATATTTGTATTATAATATACTCACATTAATGAACAGCAGCTCCTGGGAAATAATGAGGACAACAACACACTTGACTGGCTCGCACTGACAGAGAGAGCTGGTGGACTTTTGTATGTGTGAGTTGCTGCAGTGATGATGTGGTTAGACAGAAAAGAAAAAAACCTGATTTCACACTTGCACTCTTGTTTAGCAGGGAACTGGACAGGGTGTGTTAATGTGGACGGGCGCGAGCCGCAGGGCGTGGTCAGTCCCCGAACCCCAGTCGATACTGCCCAGGTTTCACTAACTTAATATAAGGAATGCCCACAAAGCACGTTACATAGGACAAAAACATACGCAGTGGAATGTACCGAGTGTGTGACTGAGTTTTTTTTGTTGAAATTTCACAGTAAAGATGAGATATTACTTAAACAGTTTTGTTTTTAACAGTAATAGATTTTAAATTACTATTGAATAAAATATATAATTAAGCAAGTCTGTGTTCTTCGCTGTGTGTCTGTTTCACTTGACTGAATATGGCCTGTAGTTGGTTCAGGGTACGAAAGGTTATCTAAAGTCTTTATTTAATTTAGATCTAAGTTTCAGTAGTTCTGTCAATCTGGACTTGACAATCCTCTAATACCCCAGTTAAGTAGTTCCACTTGACGACAAATCAGCCGTCTACAGATACGACATATATACTCAAACTGTAACAGCGACATCGAAG